ATATAAAGTTAAAAATATATATCGATATCAAATAATAAACTAAAGCACTTTCATAAATGAGTGAATCTATAATAAAAGTTTTATAACGCCTTTGTTTTACGATTGCTCCGTTTGTCGAGTGTTTGCAAGTGCGACTGCCGGCATATAACACCCACTTTTCACTATTTATATTATGAGTCCCGTGTAATAGGGGGTGAGCCTATTGACATATACCGGGCACAGTTTCAGACACGGATTTTTTTAAACCCCAGTAATTCTTTGCCCGACCTGGCAACAGAACCCAAGACCCTTGCCCAGCAGTCGCACATGCGACCACTCGGTCAAGTGATAAGGTTATAATGTTAAACAGTAAAGTAAATACCACTTCAATAAATGAACGTAACTATAAAACTTGTATGGTATAACGCCTTTTGTTTCACGTGTCACGCTCACAATCTGCTAAGCAAGCAATTCTGAGATTAAATTCTTCGTATCCGGGTCGCTACTAGCTATATAAAAACTTAGGAGTGACAGGGACTTCGTACTCTTTGTCGCTGTCGAGATATCTTCGAGTAATTATCGAGTATTTAAAACAACAATACATGCTAATTGTTCAAGACATGTTAACTTCATAAATTTGGCTAGTAAAACGCATTTGGGTGTAAGTTTGGGTAATCGGGGATGCCATTAATTACCGCATTGCCACGTCGTCGCGTGCGCTTGGGGTAGCTCGAGTGTCAGTCAATGCAAATATGTCATCATTGATAACATCAACTTGACAAGGTGTTGAGAGTCGACAAATACCATCGACAAATATATATTTTTTTATTTTTATCATAGACTTAATTTTATATAATAATTACTACCATATTAATATTTACTTATTAATTTTTTATTATTATTGTAGTAACGGGCTAGTGCTGAAAATCAGCGCCGCGACTCAGTTACCGCTCTCGAGTCACGGCATTTCAGCTGGGCACTTGGCCTTTTTGCGCCCTGCACACTTTTACCATTTTTGTCATTGTATAACTATTCTTTTTGTTTTTAATTTGTTACGCTGCAAATAAACAATTTTTCTTTCTTCTTTCTAATTCCAAGGACGGTGAGAAAAGACGCCCATCCGTTTTTGACGTCCTTGTATAATCCACTGGTGAACTATAGGCCTCCTTTACGAAATAATCTCTTGTATAAAAAAGGGTTCGCTATAACCTCCAAGCTTAGCAAGCAGGACGGAGATTTTTGTAATAACTATCGCGAGACATACTAAATTAACTATAAATCGCGGGTTACTCATGTAAATATACTGAGAAGCTCTACTAGTTTCTAACCACAGAGGGGTTCTTCCTCCGGACTTGTCGAACCCGGAATCCAACCCATTACCCGCGCCGCTGGTGAACGTACCGTGCGCTTCAACATCGTCCAGCGACATTGCCGAGACCGCGCACGCTGCTTATGAGGAAGAACCTCTCTGTAGTTCGAAACTAGTAGTGCTTTTCTCAGTATATTCACGTGAGTAACCCGTGATTTTTAGTTAATTTAGGGTGGAGATTGTAGTTTAAACCAACTACAATCAGAAAGCGCTACTGAGCCGTCTGTATTAAATTATGCAAGTCCTAGTCAGCTCTTACGACGAGAAATGCAGCATTGGTAACAAATGTTTTGTACTTCGTTATCACCAAAAGGCACTATTTCATTTGCTTGCTTTAAATATTGTATTCCTATCAAACGGTAATACATCGCAGTTTTGTCCAAAGTGATTCGACTTCGTAATCCCACAGTAGGGGTAAATTCAGTATGTCACAGAGTAATTGATGTTCTGTCGCAGTCCCCTGCTCTGTGAAGCAGCAGATATTGCGATAAGCCCCTCAAGATTGTAAATATTTTAATGGGGTGCCATTTGATCAATTTGATTTATATATTTTTTCTCTTTAGTGAAGAGAATTGCTTGTTTATAGGTCAAGGGTGTTGTAAAAACGTATTCTTAAATAAAAGTAGGATCGTGTTCAAGTGTGTTGTTATCCTTTTCCAAAAGATAATCGTCTGAAAACGGTATCTTTTTTTATAGACTAGGAGGCAAACGAGCGGACGACCGGATCATCTGATGGTAAGCGATTAGCGCCCCCAATAGACATCCTTTTTCAGATAGATTTAAACTTTATTGTGTACCAAGTAAGTAAAAAATCATAATTTAAAATGACTGCCTCATTGGCCGAGTGGTCGCAAGTGCGACTGCCGGGCAAGGGGTCTCGGGTTCGATTCCCATGTCGGGCAAAGTATTACTGGGTTTTTCAAAAAATTCACAGTAGTAGCACTGAGTCTGGAATTGTGCCCGGTATATGGCAATAGGCTCACCCCTATTACATGGGACTTTATAACATAAATAGTGAAAAGTGGGTGTTAAATTGTACAGTGGCATAATGTACACCTCTGCCTACCCATTCGGGGATAAAAGGCGTGATGTTATGTTATGTTTACAATGAATACGAAGAATACAAAGGCGGCCTTATCGCTAAAAGCGATATCTACCAGTCAACCTTTGAATCAATGGAACGTTGATCAATTTGATTTTGATAGTGAAGCTCCTGCACCTAGCACTTTATTAACTATAAAAATCGCGGGTTACTCACGTATGTATGTACAGTCACGTGAATAACTCGCGATAGAAATAGAGCACAAATATGAAGATTAGTCCGTATAATTACCAAAATCCCTGCTAAATTTACGAAAATGACCCATTTGATCTATGGAACCGAATCGTGATATCTCACTGTGGGCCTTATAAAGAAGCTCAAGGCTCAGCGCGCTATGGAAGCAGCTATGCTCGGAGTTTCTTTGCGAGATCGGATAAAAAAGGAGGAAATCTGCAAACGAACAAAGGTCGCCGACATAGCCCAGCGGATTCGCAAGTTGAAGTGGCAGTGGGCAGGGCACATAGCGCGGAGAACCGACGGCCGCTGGGGCAGAAAGGTTTTCGAGTGGAGGCCACGTACCGGCAAGCACAGCGTAGGACGTCCATCCGCAAGGTGGACAGACGACCTGATTAAGGTCGCAGGGAGCCACTGGATTCATGTCGCTTCTAAATGGCCTATCTGGAAGTCATTGGGGGAGGCCTATGTTCAGCAGTAGACGTCCTATGGCTGATATGATAATGATGATATCATGACCCCTTCAAATCTTGAATCGCAGAATTATTCTTACTAAAATCTCCAACTAAACGAACCTCTTTTAAAAACCAAACTACATAACACCTCTATATAAAAATAAGAATGCTAGATACCATAGCATTCATCCCTTGACGGTGGTAATTAGCAAATTGTAGCCTCGTAACTTATTATCAAGTTACGTCAGTACTCCGGCCCGTCTAGCGGCAATTTGTGGGAATTATGTCGCACTAGTTGAAGTTTGTGGTTGTGCTTGGGATTTATTTGGAATAAAAAGTGTGTAAAGATTTGAAGTACCGGTTTCGTAGACTCACGGCGCGTTTTTTTCCCGCGCCCGACCGACGTAGAATACTGATATGTTTGTATGTAAAAAAAATCAAAGCAAATTTTCACGACGCCATTTACATCCGCGGCGGTAGCGATTGTTTGCGGCTGTCGCTGCACCGGAGGGCGCGCCGGTGGAGGCTAGCACCCGCGCGTTCTGCGATCGGCTGAAGGGCGATAGCAATGGGACGGCCGGTCTGGAACTCAACTGATTATTTAACCGCCCGCTCGTCTTGATCAACCGCCAAGTTTGCGGGCGATAATCGTAACCGCGGCAAAAATGGGCTTACTTGTGACTTGAAAAGTCATCCTTCATTCCGCCACCACGGTAGGCGCGGGAGAAGATCGCGCCGTCAGTCCTAAGCCTTACAGCCTAGTTTTGGACTCTAAGGTTAAAGACTCACTTACTACCCTGATATTCAAATTCAAATACATTTAATCGTTTGCACACATGGGTCCATAATATAGGTATTAACAAAATATACAGTTTCTCCATACTTTGCCTTCACATGGCGTGCAAAGATACATATAAAAAATTATATAATAAAATTAGGTACATTAAGTTTACGATCATAGAAAGAATTGTTCAAGAAAAAACAAAATAAACAAACAAAACGATCTTCAACAACAATAAACCGAACTCAAAATACTCGTAAGCTTTTTGAGTAACGTGATTGCTAATGCAATTGTCGAAAATTGTTAGTGGTGTGCGAACAAACTCAATTTTCGGGTTTTATAATGCCCTAATTGGTTTCGTGTGACGTTAATAAGGATCCCGGCACCATCTGACGGCCGCTTTCCTAATCATTTTCTGTGTAATTTGACGTTTCAAGAACTTTTTTTGTTTAGATAATGGATGGTATTTTTCTTTTTTGATATTTTTTTCTATGTAGGGTTTATAGTAATGAATTGTTTTTTGGAAAGATTTTGATAGATTATAATGTAAAATTAATTAATGGCATATGATATGGGCTTCTTGACTCCCTCGTTGGCCGAGTGGTCGTATGTTCGACTGCCGGGCAAGGGGTCTCGGGTTCGATTTCCGGGTCGGGCAAAGTATTACTGGGTTTTTTAAATATTCTCAGTAGGAGCACAGAGACTGGAATTGTGCCCGGAATATGGTAATAGGCTCACCCCCTATTACATGGGACTCATAACATAAATAGTGAAAAGTGGGTGTTACATTGTACAGTGGTATAATGTGCACCCCTGCCTACCCCTTCGGGGATAAAAGGCGTGATGTTATGTTATGATATGGTCTTATTATCATCAGGAATTTGATTGGGGCATAGAAAAAGAGTTTTAGCTTATATGTAACCAGTTGTTCAGTGCAATAACGAGTTACTCAAGCAGAGACAAAAATACAAAAAATAATTTTATTTTTACACATCAACGGAATTTACAAACATGATGGAATTAAAATTAAATGAAGTATTATGGCACGAAAATATAACTTTAAACATAATAGATGACAAGAGGTAAATTATTTTGAACAAATGCTAATATTTACAAATGATATGAGAATGATTTGAGACTTTAGAAGTCATGTTCTATAGCGCCATGGATTTGAACGTCAGGTTTGTGATGCCCAAACTCCTTCTGGAAACTTCCTCCAGTGACAAATCTGGTGTTCTTATCCAGTTTCCATACTCCATCACCATTGAGGGACATCTGTAATAAGAAGATGCTTAATTTACTTTTATTTTTGTGTACACTCTTTTTGACTCAGACACCTTTATCATCAACAGCCTATAAATGCCCACTGCTGAGCAAAGCCTCTTCTCACACGGAGAAGGTTAGAGCATTAATCACCACGCTTGCTCAATTGGCGATTTCAAACTTATAATTAGAAATTATAAGTCCAGGTTTCCTCACGATGTTTTTCCTTCACCGTGTGTCAGTGGTGTCTAAATAATCTTAGAAAGTACATATAACTCGGAAAAAGTCACATTGGTACTTGCCGTTGGTAGGTTTCGAACCCGCACCCTCATGCATGAGAAGTGGGCGTCTTAAACCTCCGGGCCACCACGACGTTATGGTATTTTATTGTTTTAATATGGACATAGGCGAGGACGTTTATAAAAAGGCGAACGTAATGTCACTGCTCGACTGCCTCGTTGGCCGAGTAGTCGCAAGTGCGACTGCCGGGCAAGGGGTCTCGGGTTCGATTTCCGGGTCGGACAAAGTACTACTGGGTTTTTAAAAAAAAATTTCAGTAGTAGCACGGATTTTGGAATTGTGCCCGGTATATGGCAATAGGCTCACCCCCTATTACATGGGACTCATAGCATAAATATTGACGTGGGTGTTACATTGTACAGTAGCATTAAGTACCGTAATGTGCACCTCTGCCTACCCATTCGGGGATAAAATAAAATAGTATGTCAATATCAAATATCAATTATCTTTTAACCAATATACTACGTCAGCCCCATCGTTGCCCAAACATATCTATCTAAAACATTTTAAATTAACTAAAAAATTATTAGAAATATCAAATACCATCGGGACATGACTGTTGCAACATCCTTACAATAGATCATGCTGCATTGCTTAAAGGTTCTTACAAAATACTAGAAAAAGATCCCAAATTGTAAGTTTTTATATTAAAATCTTGCATCAGTGAGTCCTTCGCCACTTTAAATTTAACACACCAAATACTTAGCTTAGAAAATAATTCTACTTACACCACTTCCACCGCCAATCTGCTTGTGGACATCCAGAGCAGCCCTAGCGTTGTCATTGGACCAGTGCAGTTGACCACCGAGGTTGGTGCTGTCTCCGTTAGCACCGAGCACTCGAGAGCCATAAGCTTGGCCTTGAAGATGTCCACGGTGATCGTTAAAGATGTCCTGCTTATAACCTCCACGACCCTGTGGACAAATACAAATATTTAACTCATATACTTAATGTTACACCTTGTTGGCTGAGTTCGTACATTAACAACAGCCTCGTTGAGGGGTCTCGGGTTCGATTCCTGAGTCGGGCAAAGTATTACCGGGTTTTTAAAAAAATATCAGTAGTAGCACGGAGTTTGGAATTGTGCCCGGTATATGATAATAGGCTCACCTACTCTTACATGGGATTCATAACATAAACAGTGATAAGTGAGTACCTACCCCTTCGGGGATAAAAGGCGTGATGTTATGTTATGTTAATGTTACAATATTAATACAATTATATTGGGACAGACAGAATTGTGGTGGTGGCCCGGCAAGGCAAGTACGGCAAGTACCAATGTGACTCTTCCGAGTTATATGTACTCTCGAAGATTATTTAGACACCACTGACATATGGTGAAGTAAAATATTGTGAGGAAACCTGGGCCTTTGGTCATTAGTGGCCATTTATAGGCTGTTGATGTGAAGTATAAGCTTACAATCCACGCCTTTTTTTGATGCCAGCAGAATATATATTTTATTCGAAGTAACTCCCATTTTTCGCCATCTATATTATGAATCCGAAAACATTTGTTTGCAAAACTTTTTGTTAAATGTTCTGTCTAAGTCTGTTTAGACACCAATAACATACTTTGATAAATTCAAATTATAAGTTTGAAATCGCCAATTTATTGTAAGCGTTGTGATTAATACCCACTCAATCTTCAAGTGAGAAGAGATTGCCCTTCTGTGGGGAATCTACAGGCTAAAGATAATGAAGATAGATACTTACGAATAAAGAATCGTCCGTGCTCCCCAAAGTACCGAAGATCTGGCCTCTTCCAGCGTTGCGGTGCCATGTCAGATCCCTTGGCTGACGTACTGACTTAGAGTACGGGTTAAAATCTGGGTGGGTTTCCAGATAGCCGGGTGGGATGTACACCATGGCATAGGTGCAAGCTAATAAAGCAGCGAAGCAGAGTACGATGGCGGCCTGCATTTTGATCTGAAATTAAAAAAAAATACGGTTTTTGGGTTATGATTAAGTCCCGAGTTATTCAAACTTGTTACCACATTAAAGTTAAAGTCAAAGTATATATTTTAATTAAATCATTAAATCATTGGTACTTTTGAAACGTCAACAAATACATAATGAATAATAGTATTTCAGGTAGTCCGTCAGTAAAGCTAGGTGTTCATTCCAAAATGTAGATTCGAATGGAGAAGAACGAGCCACTTATAATGAAACTATATATATAAATATAGTTTAACAATGAAACTATATATACAGATAACAACCGATAGTGGAGTATAAAAACCAACTAAAAAATTAGCATAACAAAATAATCTTGCGCTTTGTGTATTTAACGCCATCTAGTATATTTACCGCGTACTATTTCAAAATATAGCGGCTACTCTCGAATTTATTCTTATCACTAACTAAATAAACAACATATGTAATAATAAAATTATATACAGATAATCCATTACGTGTATATTTAACTTCTAATATTCAATGTCAGACCAAATTTCAAGATTTATTGACCCAACTCATTATCAACATTCATTACATTTTAAATAGGTACTAAATTGAATTAAAAACTTACTTGGTTTAGAAGCTAGGTAGTTCTTCTCACAAGGTAACGTAAGGAACTGTGCCTTCAACCATCCAGACCCGATTATTTATACTCGTCTTAGTACCTGAGGTGAAATCCCGAAGCCGAAGATACCGGGGAATCTTTTTGAAATGATGCGTCATACATATAGTACATACATTGTTTTACAATCTTTGTTAAATGAGGATAAAAGTGTTCGTTTATTTATTTTCAGACTATTATAATTGACATAATAAATTGTAATAGGTATGTTTCGGGGATGTTATTCCCCGATCGCAGGGAGTCGTTAGAAAGATGATCAGTTCAAATCAAACCAACTGATGTAGAAGTGATTCGAGGAGATGTATTCGATGTTTTGTATGAAGAAGAAGTTTTTTTTAATAATGATGATGATTCCCCAATTCCTATATACCATAATGGGGATGATGACAGGGTGTGAAAATTAAAAATCTAATTAGTCCGTAAGTTAGGTAATGAAAAAACATTAGACACGTATTTTTTTTATTTTGTCCTATAATAAAACAAAACTTAGATAAAACGATTCAAAGTTTAGGATTGGGGGCTAAAACGTCATTTTTACGTATAAAATGTACATTGAAATGACGTCACGCGACATTTCAAATCAATATATCGTCGAAAGTATTCATTTCTGTAAAAAATATGTGACTAATGATTTAAAATAATCTACCAGACGGACATTAAGACGTGACATTAAGAATCTGGTTCAAAAGACGTGTAATTGTTAATTTACTGAATGACTTGTGTAATAGTATGTTGTACCTACATAGTAAAGAGAAAAAATATTGTGAGTATTATAAAATTGTAATTCAAAGACTTAATATAGGTGCTTTGCCTGCATAGTCGTTTTTGTTTTATGTTCCTTGTAAACTGACTGTGTCTGTTTTATAATGACTGTATGCTTTTTTATGGATGTGAATGATGAATGTCGTGGTGGCCCGGAGGTTTAAGACGCCCACTTCTCATGCATGAGGGTGCGGGTTCGAAACCTACCAACGGCAAGTACCAATGTGACTCTTTTTCCGAGTTATATGTACTTTCTAAGATTATTTAGACACCACTGACAAACGGTGAAGGAAAAACATCGTGAGGAAACCTGGACTTATAATTTCTAATTATAAGTTTGAAATCGCCAACCCGCATTGAGCAAGCGTGGTGATTAATGCTCTAACCTTCTCCGTGTGAGAAGAGGCTTTGCTCAGCAGTGGGCATTTATAGGCTGTTGATGATGATGATGCTTTTTTATAGCATAAACCGGTAAACGAGCAGACGGATCACCTGATGGTAAGCAATTAACGCCGCCCATGGACACCCATTGCTGATAGAGGCTCTGTTTTTTTTTTGCTTACGCTAGATTTGTAATTATGTTGCGTTTAAATAAATATCGTGATTTATGTATAAGAATTCTGACAAGTGAGACGACAAACACAAAACTTAAGTGTGGGAGAGCCATGCTTCGGCACGAATGGGCCGGCTCGACCGGAGTGATACCACGGCGTCAGAGAAAACCGACGTGAAGTAACGCTTGCGTTGTGTTTCGTCGTGTGAATGAGGTTACCGGTGGCCCAATTACCCTCCCCTTCCCCAACCTCCCCAATTCCTGAATCCCCAACGATCTTTACGCGATAAATATTGCTTCAGTTTTATGGGTAAATAATACCCGGTTTTCTAGTCCAATCAGCATTATAAGTTACAGTATCGTTTTAAGTCAAAGACAATGATTTTATTTCTTTTCGGAATTTACTATTTTCTGTGATTATACGGCAATAGACTTACCCGCTATTACATGGAACTCATAACATAAATAGTGAAAATGGGTATTACACATCGTGAGGAAACCTGGGCTTATAATTTCTAATTATAAGTTTGTAATCGCCAACCCGCATTGTGCAAGCGTGGTGATAAATGCATAAACCTTCTCCGTATGAGAAGAGGCTTTGCTCAGCAGTGGGCATTTATACGCTGTTGATGATGATGATGATAGCAAATGCGACTAACACGCCTTGCACGCATGTGCGAGGGCCCTTAGGATAGGAAGGATGGGATAATGTATCAATGAGATTGTAAATCCATATTATTTTAAGAAGCAACGATGGAGTTTCTTACTCGTTCTTCTCCATTCGAAACTACACTTTGGAACGAGTGCCTAGCTTCACTGACAGACAGACAGATGGATTATTCAATTACATTTGTGACGTTTCAAAAGTGCCTAATTACCTCCTTTTAACTCACTTTTCACACAAAGTAATTATTTGTAGAGGTATATGTAAATTTATGAAAGGAAATGAGATCAAAATGTGACGGTGTCCAATGATGTATATTAATATCTGTCTATATTGTGTATGTTTCCCAACTATTTTTTACACCACTGTATATATACAATGAAATAGTTGATAATGTTTATGTTTACTAACCCAATTGTTTTGTCCTTTCAGCTACTAACAACTAAAAACTACCGCAAAGTTAAGTTCGACGGTCCAATAATTTTGCCGTCACCACTCGACACTGGCAGTATAGTCGACAACACCATTTTGGAGACTCAGTTGCCAAAGAAGAAAAAAAACAAAATGTTGAAATAAATGCTTTGACTTTGACTTTCTTGGAATGGTTCTCATTTTTATCACTTAAACTTAAGACACATTTTCCAAAACATAATCGTATATTAACATAATTATTATAGCAATGAATAATTTTTATTTCTCTCATTAATTACGCATAATTTTATTATGTTAAAAGGAGCGACATTTCGCAGAGATCCATTATAGAAATTAAGTAAAATTTTTGTCTTTTTAGAATAGTCTTTTTTTATTATTAATTTTAATGTTTTGTTTTTTCTTTCCTTATTACTCAGAGTGGAGTATACTTTCGTTCTGTTCATTAGGAAGGTAGGTAGCTTTATTAACTATTCATTAATACTTGACGTAAGACGGAAGGTGGACAAATATGTATATTAAGGCATTCAAGTATTTGTTACTTTTCTTAAAACCGTAGCCGTACCATACACTACGATTGGCACACCTCGACCAAAGTGATACCACGGCCTTATAGAAAAATCGGCGTGAAACGACGCTTGTGCTGATTTTAGCCATGTAAGCTAGGTTCCCGGAGGCCCAATCTTTCCTCTTTCTTAAATAGTCACAACATGAATAACAGTAATTGCTGGCGAATCTGCAACAATCCTCAAATTCCTAATTTCCGAAAGGCCTCAAACTTCTAAATCCCTAAATCCCAAATAATTCCTTAAATTCCTAATCCCCAAAAGGCCTGGTGTTCCAAGTGTACATAGCAATGCCGATTACTTACCATCAGGTGATCTTTCTGTTGGCTTACCCCATAAAAACCCTCAAATTGGAAATCGGTAGAAAAAAATACAATTTTAAATTTAAACTGACATCCAACTACATTTTACTCTTAACAGAATTCTATCCAGTTTTCGAACCAAGTAAGTTACCTACTTACTCAAGTCTTATATAGAATTTTAAAATCTTAAAAGATGTATTGACTTTCTAAGTTCGTGTTTCTAAATGGACGTCTTCACTTGAATTGAAAAGCGCTGAAAAATGGCTGAAACTGAGAACGCAATTGACTTAGTGAAGCGATGTGTTTTGTGAAAAGAATTTTCAGGATAAAATTATTTCTAACTAGCAGCCCGTCCCGGCTTCGCACGGGGTAGACAATTTTTTATTTTTGGAAATTTGGATTGTTGTAGTGACATAACTACAATAGTTGGACATATGCTACCGCGGAGTTTTTTGTAGACATTATGATGTTCTTCAATATTGTTGTACATTATTTTGTTCTATCGCTATTAGTTTCGGCAGCGCATTCGACGAAAGACATTTTAAGACTCATTTTTCTACACCTTAGGTTACATTGTTCAAATTTTACCAAGGATCCCTATTTTTTATCAAAATGAAATGTAACCTATGTCCAATTGGAAGAATGTAGCATTCTATTGGTGAAAGAGTTTTTCAAATCGGCCCAGTACTTTTTGAGCCTATTCATTACAAACATACAAAAATAGGTACAAATCTTTCTCTTTATAATATTAGTATAGATATTGATATATTTTGGAATTAGGGGGAAATTTTATGCTTATCAATATTATTATTATTTATTCGGGTTACTCACCTACATAACTGGTTGACGAGGAACTCGACTAGTTTCAAGCCATGCTAGTTACTTACTGCTAGCAACATTTAGTATTGTGTGTGTCTGTGAATGACGCTGATCACACTGAGACACCTCTGAGAAACAAGTTTTGACCATTTGCTCATAGTGTTATTCGTCGTCTGTCACACATAAAAACTAGAATCTTATAGCAGTATAGCATATTCCTAAACTTACATTTAAAAGCTATTATGCA